TTAATTCCTTCGGTAGAAATAGCGTTAAGGTTATAAAAGTTAGGGTTGTAAATAATTGAGGTTATAAATAGTGTTAAATAGAAATGATTAAAAAGTGTGTTATGACACTTTTGGTAGAAATAGCGTTAAGGTTCAAGGTCTACTTAAGGGAGGATTATTTTGTATCGATGTAAGGAAAAGGGTGCTATGAATATTCTTTTTTCGTGGTACATATATTTATTTATACAAAACTGCTGAATAATACATTTAGATACCTGTTAATGCAAAAATAAAGTATAAATAATTCATAAAAGTACATTGTTAGAACGATAAAACATATTTAAAATTCTGTGGACGTTGTTTCACCCTTCCTTAAGCGTGATAGGGTTAACCGAGTTATGCCATTTCTCAGGTGTCATATGATAACAATTTTTATTCTATTCTATCCATGCGAGAAACTAGTATGACGTATTGGATCGTACGGATAATTGTTTCGTTTTTTTTTCGCGAGAAAATGAAAGACAATTTTTAAATAAAAAACAGACAAATTTTTTTAAATTTTGCTGGCAGCTTTGAAATGTTAAATATCCCGTAAAAATCCCGTTTTGAAAGGAAATTCTAGCAAAATACTGAATATATTTAATACATAAAACAATTATAATATAAATATGTAATAACATAACAAAATATATAACAATATAAATATATTTACTAACTTCGCAAAACGGAATTTTTTTTGAAAAACGAAACAAGTTTCCGAACGACCCAATATAATAAAATAAATATCAATTTGTACGTTCTTTTATAATATCTAGAAATATTCGATACTTTACATTTCATTTAATTTAAGAAATTATGATTCGAACCGTACGTAACCCTTTTTCCGCACGTTTGAGGGTAGCCAATTTTCAGCTGGATATTCCTTTCCGTACGTTTGGCCGTACGGACGAGGCGTTATTATAATTTTGATTGAAGTTATTGCCATATTCCAGGTTCCTTTATTGGAGAGTCTGCTGCTACGTGTGCACAAAGCCGCCGAAGAAGAGGCGACCGAGGCCCCATTTCGGCAGATCCTATTCTGTGCGGCAGCCAGGGTAACTATCGTCAAAGTGGGTAATCTGAGATCGATATACACGTAGTGTAACGAGGCTGAATTTCCGGTAGACGGTATGGCGGAAGTAGAGGCGGCTTTCGACGGTCCGTAAGGATCAGCCAGAGATCCGCAGATTCGGCGCTCGGGCTGTCCGATTGTATGACTAGGTCCTCGTTCTCCGACGTGGACAGCAAGTATGTCATCTTCAAATTAGAAGAATCTTCTCGGTCCAGCTATCAAACTATTGGGTTGGCAACTAAGTAATTGCCGATTTGTTTTTTTTACTTGGAATGAAGTTTAATCTGTAATGTATTTTCCATTTTGTTCGATGACCTTTTGCCATCTCTCTGACAACTTGAAAATTCCACGCTCGTAGAAAGTCCGATCCTTTTCGGCCAAAAACTGAGTTAAGTGAGATTTTACAGCGTCATCGTCATTAAAAGTTTTACCACGAAGGGAGTTGTCCAGGGATCGAAATAAGTGGTAATCCGATGGCGCGAGATCAGGACTATATGGTGGGTGTAGCATCAATTCCCAACCAATGTCCATCAATTTTTGCCGAGTGGACAAAGACGTGTGCGGCCTAGCATTATCCTGCTGGAAAATGACATCTTTACGGTTGACCTATTCTGGTCGCTTTTCCTTGACCGCTGCATTCAATTTGTCCAGTTGCTAACATTCACGGATAATAAAAAATAACATAATAATAATAATAATAATAATTTTATAATATAACATTTACGGATATCATAAAAATGGGAGTGAGAGACATCTATAACTGAAATCGGCAATTACTTGCCAACCCAATATTTGCATAATTTTTATTCATATAATTTGAGATATTTGCACAAGTAAATACTATTTGGAAATATTATTTCATTTAATGTTTAAACATTTAATTTAATAATTTACTATTTATTATATACATTTAATGATTTAACTATTTAACACTAAACCTACCGCGGTCAAAGTGACCGCTTTCTTATTTTGCAATTCTGCAAAGTTTCGAGACTCTTTCGTGGAAAACGCTTGAATAAGTTATATTATTGGAGCAAGTTTTATAATAAAACCTTTATAGATTCTAAATAAATTCGGTCTTCTCACTTTTGTGAAGCACAGTTAGCGACGAACAAAAAATAGCATACTTTAAAATCGACGTGACTTTTATTTATTTGATAAATAAATTTAGTTTCAATTGATTTTATTTATGCTGCTGAAAAATATACTTCCCTCCGGCAATTCTATATTATTTGTTCCATAATTATTTCCAAATACATTTTGCTATTCGTTTTTCCTGTTATAAATTTGCTTTCCATTTTACCATAGTACCCGATACTGTACCCCAAATCATTTTTGTTTGGTTAAATTTGGTCGTTGTTAAATTCTGAAAAATGTGCGAAATTATGAATTCTGCCACATGCCTCTAAATGTCCCTTTTTATTCAAATGGAGGTACAATTCCCGGCGCTACGAGGACATGGAGCAGAAGCGTCTGAATCTTTATCAACCCCCAGGAAGCCTCAGCCCAAATATAGGATTCAAATCCGCAACGATTTCCCGATACTCGGATCTGCCTGTCGAGCCGCCGAGAACAACTGCAGGTACTCGAATATTCCCATATTTCTCCGTTACTCGGAATATCACAACAATTTTACGGACCGAGAAAGATGGAGGAACTACATGCAATCCCGTGCCATCGAATTAGGGTAGTGGAGCCAGTTACTGTGGAGTAGCCAATTACGGTTCCTTTTTGCTTATTTTCAAGCATAATTACCTTCGTATTTATCATATAACACATATCAAAATTTTTAATTTAAATTCAACTAATTATTTATTTGTTAAAATTAAATATATGTAAAATACGGAAGCTCTTAAAATACCACAAAAATTATTTCAATTCGCGAAATTTTCTGTAAAGCTTATGAAAGAGATTAAGAAAATACTGAACGAATAAAGATCAATATTCGGTAAAATAAATCGTTTTATATCACAATGTTGACTATTAGTAAAACGTATTAAGGTTACGGAAAAATAAAAACAGTGATTATTTATTTGAATTTTCATTTCTAGTTTCAACTTCAGTAGTTTATTTACTCTGCACAATAATTGAACCTATTTTTCGCTCGATGCGTTAGTTACTGTGCACAGTAAGTGAATCTATTTTTCACTCGGTGAGTTAATTACTGTGCTGTTTACCACGGGATAGACCTATGTAACCTCAAATCTCAAATTATCTCTGTCATATTTTGAAAGAGGAGAATTGTAAATACGGAATTTTATTATAGCAATCATCTTTAATGTGAACTTTTAAATGACTTATTATTATATTACATTTTTTTTGTAGAATATTGAGTAATAAATTATTATTAAATTAAGAATATATTAAACTTGTTATTATGCACAGTTATTGTGACTCAGTATTCAGAGGGGGGAGCACAGTAACTGAAGCACAGTATTCAGGGAGACAACACAGTAATTCTTCATAAAATTAAAGTATTTAATCGAATTAAATTAAAATTTCAATGCAAAGTGATATGACGTTAATTACTATTTTCTACGTCCTTATCTCTTGCAAATCCTAATAAATCGATTAGCGTACAAATTAATCTTCAAAAATTAGACAGACAAATAGTGTAATTGTGATGAATTTTTTAAATTGTGCACTATTAGTGCATAGCATATATTAGTAATAAATTAGTTATTTAAAATAATAGTGTATTATTATTAACAATACGAATAGAACGAATTTTGTAATAACATAATAATGATACATTTTTTTAAAAAAACTGTGCTTATTTGATTCAAAGTGTTAACATTCTTATCGCTCGCGAATCTTAGTCAAATTAAAAAGATTATAATGGATTAGCTTAACAATGAATTTTTAAAAGTTAAAAATTTCGAATATTTTTTGTTTGATGCGTATTTTTTGTGTATATTTTGTCGGATTCATGTCGAATGAATTGCCGGGCCAAAAATATAAACACGCTCTGAGTAACGCTTTCACAATATCAGATTCAGCGACAGTAAAACATAAACCGAATGCCTTGCATTTCAGTTCGATAATAAAATTTGTAGACAATCGAAGATCACGTGCAATTTATAACACGGGATCGCAGCTAGAAATCTGGATCCTCGCGTGTGGCGGTAATTCGATGACACGGGATTGTACATCTGCGCAATTTTTCTCAGAGAAAATGGCGCGGCTCGATTAAAAATTTTGCCACGGTTCGTTGACGCTGAATTATAACAATCGCATGTCCGAATAAAAGAATAACCGAAGACTGCAGAATATTTGTACGTTTCGTTTTCGTTGCTGGAACGATGAACATTGCGAGGAAACGGGAGAGAGATAAGAACTAAGATCGTGCCGCGCAGTTTTTCTCGGTAAAAGAATGGCTTTCTCTCTCTCTCTAATTAACGATTGCATTCAGCCGGCCCCAAGATGACACAATCGCTGGACAGACGATTGTTAATGAACCGTGCGCCCAACGACACGGATCGTTCCCCGGTCCTGTGCAACAAATACGCTCTGAACGACCTGGAGAACGAGTTGCAACAATGGCAAACTTCCGCGAGGAACGGAGGTAAATAGTTTCCGATTGCCGTCTTTCCTTTTTATTTTATTTCCTCGCCGGGTTTTGTCATGAACGGGCCAAGTAGAAATATTTTACAAGCGAAGGTACTCGGACGATAAAGCGCGGAAGAAATTGTTTAGAATTTCATGGAAAATTCGTTTGAAAATAAGAAATTCCTTCGAATCTTCCGCAAAGTCCTTTAAAAGGAGAGATAAGATTCGAAGACCATACTATAGCAACAATTATGGTGCAAGTCCTTTTATGGTTAATATGCGTTGATTTGCAGGAATTAAAATGAAGTAAAAACTGTATTGAAATATTAAGAGTTGCATTGAAAGCAGAAGAAAATACTTAGTTTCGAGATACAACCCTGCTGACGGAAAGTACTTGAACATCTTTTAATACTGAATAACTTTTTTAAGAGCGAGCTGAATGATTTTAATTAATTCACTTTTTTATCTGAGCCGATGAAATAAAACTTTTTAAATACGTTTTGTAGATCTCGGTGATTTCTGTGCATTTTGATAATTTCAATCGAAATCGGTTCACGTTGCTATCAGCTGTTAACAATTAAAGTTCGCGAAAACAGCAATAAATCGATTTCGACGAATTTTTTAACATGGATACAAGCTATCGAGTCTGAAATAAAAAACGCATTTGTTAAATTTTCCTTATAGGCTCAGATAAAAAAGTTAATGAATGATAGTTTTTCATTTCTTTTACTCGAAGTGATAGCAAAGTTAACAAAAATTATTTTAGTCATTCTACAGTAAACTAATTCGTCCAACATCTTAAAACAGTTCAGATTGTTCGGACCAACCATAAAAAAGTTATATTCCGTTTTAGAAGGTGTGCGAATACTTTTTTGACTCGCTATACCTGCCAGAAAATCGGAGCAAATTTTTCAAGAACTGTGATTCAATTATAAAAAGCATATAATAAATGTAAATACAAAAATCATTATACTTTTCTCTAAGAATAAAAAATAACTAATTTTCTACGAATAAATAAATAAAAGATTTTGATGAAAAGTCAGCAAATTTTGCAAAAACAGTGATTCGATTATAAAATGCATATAATAAATGCAAATACAAAAATCATTATACTTTTCTTTAAAAATAAAAAATAACTAATTTTCTACGAATAAATAAATAAAAGATTTTGATGAAAAGTCAGCAAATTTTGCAAAAACAGTGATTCGATTATAAAATGCATATAATAAATGCAAATACAAAAATCATTATACTTTTCTTTAAAAATAAAAAATAACTAATTTTCTACGAATAAATAAATAAAAGATTTTGATGAAAAGTCAGCAAATTTTGCAAAAACAGTGATTCGATTATAAAATGCATATAATAAATGCAAATACAAAAATCATTATACTTTTCTCTAAGAATAAAAAGAAACTAATTTTCTACGAATAAATAAATAAAAGATTTTGATGATAAGTCATTCAGTCCAGTTTTTAAGAAATCACTACATTTTGAAAGGTGTTCGAATACTTTTTGCCTTTTTTGCTTTTTGTATAGAAACTGCAATAATAATAATAATAATATATTAAACAATCGCTGATTAATTACATTTAATGCTGCCCGGACCGATTGTCCTGTGAAGTAATGTTTTGTGGAAACAGTAAGCGATAACTCGAGGAAACTGCAAGAAGCGGAAGTGATAGAAAACGGCGACCATGTCGAGAAGCAAGCCTCGTATAACTCAAGGTCGCTGCCAAGAAGGTGTCTGTCTGTCGAGGGTGCCACCACGAACTACAAAACGAACCTAGCGGCACCCCTGCGACCGTCCTCTACTTACGCGGAAATGGAAAACTGGAGGAGACATCCTGCCTCTAGAGTCAGGCGTTATAGAAGCAATTATCCTGTTGGTGAGGCTATAAAAATTAATATACTGCACGGTGCATAACACGTGGTCAACTCGCTGCGAACCCAAAATGCAATTTTGCGAACCCAAATTTGCACTTCCAATGCAAATGATCCGCCAAATAATTCGTTAGCCATCCCGTAAAGATTGATATTATTTCTTCGACAGAAATGGAAAAATGGTCTTTGAAATTCTCAGCGTCAAATTTCAAATTAACAGCTCGACTTTCGCCGCAAAAATTTCATAAAAGTAAAGAATTTTATATATATATATTTGATGAAATTAAAATTGAAAAGTTAAGTTCTATGAAATCAATTATATTTTGATTTTAGATCTTACATTTTTCGGATCCTAATATAATTAGGAAGTTATAACAAATTAGCGTAGAAATTAATTTTAAAATTTGAAAAAGATGATTTGGCGAATAATTTGTCAGCCACATCGCGAAAATATTGACATCATTCTTTTGACAAAAAGAAAAATTGTCAAAATTCAAATGAACAATTTGATTGTCACGACTCCCATCTCAAAAATTTTATAAAAGTAAAGTATACTATTTAATCAAATTGTGAAATCGAAACATTAAGTTACACGAAATCACTATTATATTTAATCAAATTAAAATTGAAAGATTAAGTTTCATAAAATCAATTATTATATATTTTCAACATTCTTATATTTTTTGGATCCTAATAAAAATGATTCTACGAATAATTTGTAGAATTTGTCAGCCATCGCGTAAATATTGACAAAAAAGAAGAAATGATATCACACACACACACACAGAAATTGTCTCTCAATATAAAAATTCAAATAAACATTTCGATTATCACGACTACCGCCTCAAAACTTTCATAAAAGCAAAATACACTATTTAATCAAATTAAAATAAAAAAGCACAGTTACACTGTTTTCAATTATATTTTCAACGATCGGAAAGGCATGATAATTAGCGTACAAAATAGTTTTTAAATCTGAGCAAATCATTTCGTCGCCCACATACATATATGTGACAATTTTTCACGTATAAACAGTGGAATCGTTTAATTATGAAACGGCCTGTACAGTGCGAAGCTGTTTCACGTCCGAAAAGTTGAATTTAGAGACAACATTTGTAAATGCTTTATGGTTCGTATAGCGCCCAGGCTATTGTACCAAGCACAAAGGGTTGACCATCGATTTTAACAGCGCCTGTATGTTTTATGAAGTTCCTTTTTCAGCTCGTTCGTACAGGCGGGACACACTGCCCGCGGACATAATGCCAGCCACGGGTCTCCCTATTCACAGGCAATATTACGCCGACGATTTTGATTCGGACTACGAGTACTATACGACCACGGAAGACGACAGACAGCCGATAAAACCGGTGCCTATTTGGCTGTGCGTGTTCCTCGTGGTCAGTTACATATTCGGCGGTGCGTTCCTCTTCAGCGCCTGGGAACAATGGCCCTTCCTCGATTCCGCTTACTTCTGCTTCATCACGCTCACCACCATTGGTATGCTGACACATGCAATTATTTCTCGATCTTTTGATCCCCCGTAGACTGTGGATCTTTATGCGAGAGTACAGTAAATTCTCCCTATAAGATTTAGTATTATTAGGTTTATTATTAGTCTTTTTTTTATTCACCATAAGGTTTATTATTAGTCTTTTTTATTCCCCCTCAGATTATTTACCGATTGCCAACAACCATAAAAACGAGCCGCAAGGCTCGAGTAATCGTATCTCCTCTCCCCAAATTGTCCATTTTTGTGTACAAGCTGAGGTTTAATTAGGGAGAATTTACTGTGCACGGGTTTCTATAGGGTGTCCTAAAATTATGACAATTCCGGGGAATAAAGGATTCCTGAGATCATTTGGAGTAACTTTTTCCTTTGCAAAAATGCAATCCGCGGCTTCGTTTGCGAGTTATTAACGAAAAAAGACACTGGTCAATGAGAGGCGAGCTTTGCTGGCGCGAGGCGGTCCAAGCAACGAACCAGCTGATCTCGCCGCTCATTGGTCACCGTTTTTCGTTAATAACTCGCAAACGAAGCTACGGATTGTATTTTCGCTAAGGAAAAAATTGCTTGAAATGATCTCGAAAATCCGTCATTTCCCGAAAGTACCATAATTTTAGATTACCCCGTGTAGACTCGCTACGTGGCGCGATCAAAAAGGAAGCCGGATTGCGTTTAGAAAAATGTTATTACTCAACGAATCTAAATTTAGCTTCCGACCACTTCATAGTGTTCTCTTCTGCATTAATGCAGCGATCTGAACGTCTCAAACGCTTTTTTGGAAATCATTTTTCCATTAAGGGTCTAAGAGAAAAAGTGCCAAAATCAAAGAACTTTTGATTAGCAATGAGAGAAAAGAAAACGACGCAGTTTTTTTTACATTAAAGCTGAAATGTTGTCGAACGAGGGAAAGATATACAGAATGTAGTATGAACATTTCTTAACCTTGAAAATTGATAAACTTGAAGTATTCCAACCAAATTGTGATTTATCCAGTGTTATTCAAATTTTGATTTTCTCATGACATGTTATACATCATTTCCCATAGATTTTGACACGCTGATTTCAAATCCGATCGCAAAATAGGTCTACCACTTCAGGATTTCGAAAAAAAATCGATTTAAGTGAGAAAGCTGACGAAATCGTAATTTTTTCATCAAAATAATATGATATCCCGGCGGCTTTTTTTTCAAAATCCTGAGGTGGCAACCAAATTTGAAATCAGCGCGTTAAAATCTACGGGAAATTATGTATGACATGTCCTTAAAAAATCCAAACGTACATGATATTGCATAAATCACAATTCTGTTGGAATATTTCAAGTTGAACGTAAATTTTCACTATTAAAAAATATTCACACCACATGCTCTCTATTTTTCCCTTGTTCTACAACATTTCAGCTTTAACGTAGAAAAAACTGCGTCGCTTTATCCCGTTCCTATCAAAAGTTCTTTGATTTTGTCGCAACCTTTTCATTTAGCCCCACTGCGCGTCGCGTCGTTCCTCAAGCTTCGACTTCATTTTCGGAAATGAGAAGAAGAAGAAGAAGAAGAAGTCACAAGGTGCTGAATCTGGTGAATAAAGAGAGTATGGAATGACCGTCGTCTTGTTTTCCACTAAATATTTTCGCGTTAGAAAAGCTGTGTGCATTTAAATATTCTAGAACCACACAATCATACTTCCACTAAATTGCTCTTAGCTCACGTGGCTGTGTTCTCTGCTCGGCGGCACGTGGCGTACTGAAGCGCAAGGGCATTCAGAACTGAGATCCAAAGCTATTAAACGTTATCCGACACCGACATCGAGATACATATAAACAGAGTCTGGTTTCTTCTTGATCGCACCACATATTGCAGAGATAATCAAATTAACATTGAATTTTTCTACGTTTTACTAAATGTCGCACAATTTGCGTAAGTATTATTTTCAGTTTTGTAAGTTTTATAAGTTATTTATTCATAAATAAATTTGTTATAGATTAATGTATTATTATGATTCGCAATAATATCTGCTGCTTGAACAATATAGAAATTCAGAAAATTCTTTATTTTAGAATTCGAAAGTTTATTTTTGATAAGCAGATATTTTATAATTGTAGTTTGTAATAATATTTTCACTTGCAACAAACGTTTATTAAACAATATAAAAATTCAGGAAACTTTTCATTTTGAGGAGCCAATTACCGTGCCCTGTTGACATCAGGACATCCCTGATGAAACTCCTGGAGTTTTCGCTGCTAAAACAACTTTAGCAATTTAATTGACATTTCTCTAGAACGCGTTTATTTTTTGAGGGGGCGGGGGGAGTACTTTTTTATAAGCTAATTACGTAACTTCTTGCATCGGTGTTTTTCATATTCATTTGTTACTTTTTCAACAAAATTTACAAATTTACACGAGATACAGTCAAAATTGATAGAATAAAAACGATAGAATATAAATAATTCGCATTATTATTCGAATCATTTTTCAATCTCTCTTCAAAGCAATTATTTGCATAATTGTACAATCTCTATTCGAACAAATTATTTCGGTAATTGTACAATCTCTATTCAAACAAATTATTTCAGTAATTGTACAATCTCTATTCAAACAAATTATTTGCATAATTGTACAATCTCTATTCGAACAAATTATTTGCATAATTGTACAATCTCTAATTCGAACAAATTATTTGCATAATTGTACAATCTCTCTATTCGAACGAACTATTTGCATAATTCTTAATAAATATTTTTTTATTCAAATAAATAGATAGAATAATTTATGAAAAAATAATAAATAATTGTTGTTCGAATAAAATGTTCGACTAAAAGGAATCCATTCGGATAGTTATTTTCGATAAGTATTTCTTCGGAACAATTCGAATAATAGCCGATTCTGGTTATATACACCTCTTAGTTGTAGACGACGTGTGTTGCACATCATAAATAAAATTTTAATTATTAATTTTTAAAAAATAAATTTCGCATATTTTAGAATAATTCTGGAGCAACTTATCGAAAGAAACTGCACCCGGTATGATCGATAAAACGCGTACAAAATACATAGAGATCTTAAAAATAGATCGACACAGTTAACTAGTTAAGGGCACAGTAACTGGCACATTCACCCCAGCTAGAAGATGATATCTCACTTCGATCATTTTCCCTGACGCAGTTCTTGGATGTTTCCGTACGTAAAATCCGCAGTCTACAGCCACGGTTTACGCGAAACGAGAAAGTGCAATACTCGACAAACAAATAACCCAATGAAACTGAGACAAACCCGATGTCTGCGAGCGATCAGTATTTATACCGGTTATGCGAATCGGGTGCAGGTCGTAAAAGGCACGGTTGATTTATGGCGTTCCAGGGTTCGGAGACTTCGTCCCGGCGTACAAGCTCGACGCGCACAGAGGTATCGCGGTTTGCTCGTTGTACCTGTTATTTGGGATCGCTCTGTTGGCGATGAGCTTTAATCTGGTGCAAGAGGAGGTCATCAACAACGTGAAGAACGTCGCGAAGAGCCTCGGCATCATCAAAGAGAGTGACGACGAGGAAGAACCCGACGACTACGACGCGTACGACGCTGAATACAACGACGAAGTCGACAACGAGCTCGAGGACTATGTCCTCGATACCCCTCGATGTCACTCGATGCCGAGGAACGCTCGCGGAATCTCCGTCGCGTAGCCCGCCACGCCCCGAATTTCTTTTATTTACCGACAACACCCTCCGTTCTATACCACCTGCCGACGCCCACGCAGCCTTTCGGGACTGCTCGGTTTATCCCGTCGAGACTGTATTTACGAGATTCGCTGACACTGGAACTCCCCGGATCCGCCGAAATCACGGATCTCGCGACTACCACTTCAGGTACAATTGTCCCAATGCGTCGCTCCATTAACCCATCATGGACGACGCGTAATTCACATGTAGCTTTGCTCCATCTATCATAGCTGGGTTAACCCTGGAACGACCCCTTGGGCTTGACGACGGTCACGCGACATTTTTATGTTATCTGGGGACGTGTAAATAAATGCTAAAATATTGATATAAGAAATAATAAATATAATATATAATATACATATAATAATATATATATAATTATAATATTTATATAATTGATTATAATATAATATAATTTAATTTATATTATTATTTATTATATATTATTATATATAATATATATATATATATATATATATATATATATATATAATAATATAATATAATATTATAATATAAATAATAATATAAATTAATATATATATATTATTATATTAATATTAATATATATATATAAATTATATAATATATAAATATATATTATGCAACCTATAATATATAATACATAATAATAATATACAATAATATATAATAATAATATAATATGTAATAATATATAATATATAATATATGATATATGTTTTATTATGTTTTGAAAATAATAAATAATATTTTAATTATTAAGATATAATTTCTGGTTGTCTGCAACCCCACAATGTTACTTATGCCAAAAAATAGAAGAGGGTCGTTCTAGGGTCAAGGGGTTATTCTAGTGTAAATAGCGTTTTTGCTTACATTTCGTTGGAATTTTTTTACGATGGTACTATTATAACATCTCTTGCAGTTACATTTACAAGGATAATTTATACATGTTTTCGAGCACATTCAAAAATTCTTTGGTTTAACAAAAGTTATTTGTAGCATTGTGTTTTTTGGAACATAATCCAGTTCGAAACAAAACCTTGTTCGAAAATAACCTTGAATGATACCTTACATGTAAGATTCTTAATTAGTATGAGTTTGGCTGTAGCACATACTAGAACGAATGAAAATGGTCGAAAATTGAAAAAATGGCGACGTTTTCAAATATCATGGGTTTTGAGAGATCATGGTCGCTGTTTTAGAAAACATACTTTCGAGAAAAGTACATTTAAAGTCTTGCCCAGCAATGATCATTCATGTTATGAATATCATACTCACTGTACACAGTGGTTAGAATTTCTAATGCTATGTTTTACAAAAAAAAACTGTAAGAGAAAATCGAATTATTCGTAGGTTCTCGCTAGAATACCCCTCAATGAAAAATTATTAATGAAATCACATAATCGACGAAATTACATAATTTATAATATAAAATAATTAGTTTTTTTACCTGAGTAATTTAATGCTGTGTCATATATTTTAAAACACTTTTCACGTAAAATCTTCTACGTTAGAATAAAGACAAAAATGTATGGTGTTTTACACTACATTACACAACTTCTTCGTGGTTTTGATTTATTTCCTGTAGCAGGAATTTTCGAAATAAAATGTCTGCCAGTAATTTTTTAAACTATATTGTCTGTTATTGTGTTCGGTATGTTTCCGCCTTTTGTTATTTGACTATTTCCGACGTAGAGTCAGCTTCTATCCGGCTGCATCACCAGTTACATGACACATTGTATATTACGATTTTCTATAACCACGCGCCATTTAATAAAACTAAAGTACGTATGTAAATCAAACAGGCAATTACACTGGAATAAAGACGTTACATCGTAACCTTGATCGATTAGAACACTGATTAACGATCAACACAAAAACAGTGATTTCCTGTTTTGTTTAACTAATTGTAACTACATAACGAATCTGTTAAATTATTTCGTTCGTTGAAATTATATAGAACGTAATGTTTTAGTGATATTTTATAATTAAAATGTATTATAATTGATAATTTTACCCATACTTAAAATCAGTTACATTAAATTGATATTAAAAATCCATTGTAATATAAAATATTGAAATTTAGTTAAAATTCATAATCTTAAACAATAAAATAATTCCAATAAAAATTTGTATTGAAATTTGTATTGAAATTTAATTACGGACTAAATTTATAATAAAAATTTATTATAATCGATAATGTTACCTACATCTAAAATCAATTGTTTTAAATTTATGTTAA